AAACGACTTACCTCCTTAACTATCAATCGAGCATGGCGCGGATCGAGTGGAACTTGGCCACGGCGCCGGCCGAGCCGTAGCCGGGGGGCGCCCGCAACCGGGGCTGGCCGGGCCGCAGCGCGGGCGGAGGCCTGGCGACGGGTCGCCTCGGCGCGCTTCGCCTCGAGCGCCTCCTGCTCGGCCTGGATCTCCAGGAGCGACTTGTTGCGCCGCCCCGAGCCCGCAGCGGGCGTCGGCCCGGCCCGGCCAAACATGCCGGTCTTGACCGGGCGCGCCTTGGCCGCCCGTGCGGCGTCGATGGCCGCCTGCTGCTCCTGGATTTCGCGGAGCGAGAGGCCGCTCCCGCTGCGCTGCGCACCAGCACCGCCCTTCCAACCCAGCTTCTTGTGAAGGCGGTCCTCCTCGCGCTTGCGGGCAGCCTCGGCCTCGGCCTGGGCACGGCGCTGGGCCTCCCAAGCCGCCTGCTGCTCCTGGATCTCGGCAAAAGTCATGGCCGGCTCAGCTTTGATGGCAGCAGCGGCGACTCGGGCTTGCTGCTGCGCCTGAGCCTGCGCTTGAGCTTGCGCACGAGCCTGCGCCTGAGCCTGCGCCTTGGCCTGCGCCTTGGCCTGCGCCTGCGCGTGGCGGAGGTTGACTGCGGCCTGACGCTTCTGGCGCTCGGCGTCGGCAGTTGCCCAGGCCGAGCCCGACTCGCGGCCTGACGAGGTCTTGGCGGCGGCGCGGACGCGCTCTTCATCGGCACGACGCTGGGCCTGCTCGCGGGCGGCGGCTGCCTCGGCCTTGGCCTGCTGCTTGACTTGCTGCGCACGGAGGAGTGCCTGCTGGGCAGCCTGCTGCTGCGCCTGGAGCTGCTGCGCCTGGCGCTGCTGCGCCTGGTGCTGCATGAGCGCGTGAGCCTGAGCCTGAGCCTGAGCCTGAGCCTGAGCCTGAGCCTGCGCCTGAGCCTGAGCCTGCGCCTGCGCCTGAGCCTGCGCCTGCGCCTGAGCCTGCGCCTGAGCCTGCGCCTGGGCAAGTGCCTGCGCCTGAGCCTGCGCCTTGGCCTGGATCGCCGCCTGGGTGTGGAGGTGGTAGATGGGGTGCTGAGGGTTGAACGGCGTCTTGCGCTCGTACATGAGCTGGGAGAGGAAGGCAGAGGCGCCGTTGTCGCAACGCTGCAGCTGCAGGTCGTCGACGGCGTTAAAGGCACCGGCCTCGGCCCAGTCATGCATGCGCGACGACGGGAACGGCCCCTGGACGTTGCCCGATGGGTCAACGTACCGCCACTGGAGCGAGTGGTAGCTGGCCGGGGCAAGCGCAGGGTGGAAGTTGCCGGCAGCGGCGGCGGCAAAGGCCGGCGAGCCGAGGGCGGCCGGGGAGGGTAGAGCGCCCGAAGCGGCGATGGCGGCGACGGACGGCGGCGACGACGAGAGACTCGTCTCGACCGAGACGGTTGGCGGCGAGGAGCCGGTCATGGTGGGCGAGGTAGCGGCGACGGCAGCGGCCGCGAGGCGCGAGCCGGTAACCAGCGGCTCGGGCGCGGCGCGGGCAAGCTCGGCGGCGCGCTCGGCGGCGCGCTCGGCGGCGCGCTCGGCGGCGCGCTCCTCCTTCTTGCGTGCGGTCTTGGCGCCCACAACCTCCCAGCCGTCGTCGTCGGCGGCGTCAGCTGTGGGCGTCGGCGTCTCTTGGACGGCCGAGCGCGAACCCCATGCATTTTGGGTATTCACCCGCAGAGCGTCGTCGCCGTCGTCGCCGCGGCGGGTCCGCGGCGGCGGGCCGGCCCATTCAATTTCCTTGGACGACTCGGGCCCGCGGGCACGCTCCTGGAACAGATTGGCGACAGTCGGGTCGTCGAGGGCCGAGCCTGGAAAGGCCGCGAGCGGCGAGAAAAAAGTGGCAATGGCCTCGTGTGAGTACGAGTACGGGCCGGAGGTGACGGGCGAAGGCGCCGGGCGCTCGTTGAGCCGCTCGACAAGGTCGTAGAGGAAGCCTGCAGACATGCCGCCGTTGGAGACCGAGTGGAAGCTGCGATCTCTGTCGCGGCCGTAGCCGCGGCCGCCATACCGGCGCTTGTCGCCGCCGCCGCCGTCGTTCCCGCCGCGGTCTCTGTCGCCACGACGGCGCGAGCCGCGGTCTCTGTCGCGGGCCGACCGGGAGCGGCCGCCCCCAGAGCGGCCGTCACGGGCTCTCTCACGGTCACGCGGCTCGTTGCGCGGCATGTCGCGCCAACCGCGGGACTCGCCATTCCGCGAGCCCTGCTTTGACGGCGACGATGGCCACGCCCGCCGTCCTGGTGGGCTTGCCCCACCCGGAGGTGAGGCCACAGACGACGGAAAATCTTGCGACGAACGCCACGCCCCGCCGGGAACGGCCACGGGTGCTGAACGGTCAGGGGAAGACATGACGATGGGTGTGGGGGGTAGGGGGAGTAGAGGGTTGGGGTTGGGGGAGGGGGGGAGGGGGAGTAGATGTGTGTGCAGGAGTGGGGTGAGGGTGGCCTCTGGTGGAAAGGTGGAGGGGTCGCCGCTGGCCGTCGGTCGGCCGTCGGCCGTCGGCTGTCTGTCGGTGGTTGGTGCAAGGCGACCGATGGCCGGCGGGGGGGGGGGGGGGGGGTAGTGGCGAGTGTCGCACTGCCACCGCACATGCTCTTTGACAGCAGCCTCTCGACCTTGGTCTTCGGTCTGTGTTCTCTCGCTACACCACACGCTCCACCGCACCGCGGCAGGGTCGGGCATGGCAGCCATGGCAGAGTCGGCCGGCCTCGGACACGAGGTTCTCGAGGCCAAGGGCGGCGAGCCGGGGCGGAGCAGCCGGAGCAGTCGAAGCAGCCGGAGCAGCCGGAGCAGCCGGAGCAGCCGGAGCAGTCGCCACCGGGATAAGGACGGCAGGCGGAGGCGGAGCGGGAAGAGCGAGGACAGCAGGTCGCGGAACAGTCGCAGGCGGCGGCGGAGCTCATCGGCTGAGGCCTCGGGTACAGGCGAAGGTCGGGGATCTGGGGTGGGATCCGGGGCCGAGCCGCACTCGAGCTCGCGGGCGCGCTCCCGCCGCTCGCACACGCACAGATCCCGCCGGCACAGAGTCCGCAGCTCGGGCAGCAGGCGGCGGCGGCGGCGGCGAGTTGGTAGCGGCTCGGCGTCTGCCGAGGTGAGCAAGTCAGGAGGCGGGCGGTCTCGATCGCGGTCAAGGGAGCGCGACGCCGATCGGGTTGATCAGGTGAGCGAGGCCGAGGCCCGCGAGGCGCTGCGGGCGCACTGGGGTGGCGGCGGACCGCTTCCGTCCCAGAACGAGGTACGCCCGGGTGGCAACGGCGGAGAGGGCGACAAGGCCGCTGCGGTCAAGCCCAATCTGGCCACGTCCGGCCTGCTGGCGGCCGAGAGCAACACGGTCAACGGCGTGGTGCTAAAGTACGTCGAGCCGGACGATGCGGCTGTGCCCAAGAAAAAGTGGGTGCTCTTTGTCTTTGACGACGACGGCGACAATGATGGCGCTACCGCGCCGCTCTACGTCTGCTCGCAGTCGCACTTTCTGGTCGGCTCGGATCCGCGGGTCGCGCACGTTGTCGTCGGCCACCAGACCGTCGCGCCACAGCACGCGGTCCTCCAGCACCGCCGAGTGAGGGTGACCAAGGCCGGTGACGCGCCGGATGTCATCCGCACCACCGTCAAACCGTACATCATTGACCTCAACTCGGCCGGCGGCACGTTTGTCAATGGCGACCGCGTCCCGCCGGCCAAGTACTACGAGCTCCGCGCCAAGGACGTCATCACGCTTGGGACCGCACCCACCGAGTACGTCCTCGTCAACTCTAAGGCCGCCAAGGGCTAGCGCCAGACCCAACTAGGACCCGAGTAAGATCCGGCCAGTGAAGATGAAAATGGGTGGAACTCGGACCGACTGCCCCCCGCGCCTTCCACGTCCCCGCGCCTCCGCCCGCCGCTCCCACTACCACCAGCGACCCACTGTAGCCCACACTCAACCCACACTCAACCATGAAGCGTACGCCACCCCCCACACACACCCCACACCCCCACACCCCCCCCTCCCCTTCACCTTCCTCCCCCAGCCACCCCCCTGCACCCCCTCGCTACTCTGTACACCGTCCTCTGGTTGCCTTCCTCCTTTTTTTCACACACTCTCACAAACACACACAAACACACACACACACACACAAACACACACACACACACACACAGCGTACCTGTTTCTGTACAATGTGATCGCCATGGTGGCGTGGGCATACACGCTTGTGCTCCTGGTGACGGCCTGGACTGAGGACAAGACGGCCGAGGAGGCGTGGCCGGTTATCGAGGGTGCGCTCAAGGTGGCGCAGACGATGGCGCTGCTCGAGGTGGTGCACTCGCTCATCGGCTTTGTGCGCTCGCCGGTGGTGACGACTGCCATGCAGGTTGCGTCGCGCATTGTGCTGCTGTGGGGCTACACCAACGCGTTCCCTGCGGCACAGAAGCACTGGTCGCTGTGGCTCATGGTCGGCTCGTGGTCGCTGGTGGAGGTGCCGCGGTACGCGTTCTACGCCGTCAACCTGTACCTTCCGATGAACAAGGTGCCGTACGCGCTGTTCTGGGCGCGGTACTCGCTGTTTATGATCCTGTACCCGACCGGCATCTCGGGCGAGCTCATCCAGGTCTGGTCGACGCTCAAGACGACCAAGGCCGACCCGACGCTCGTGCCGGTGTACTACATCTCGCTTGCGCTGCTCGCGCTCTACGTGCCGGGCGGCCCGATCATGTTTGGCCACATGCAGAAGCAGCGCAAGGGTCAGTTCAAGAAGCGCGCCAACTTTGGTAAGCCCGCGCCTGCGCCGGCTGGCCTCCTCTTCCCGCAGGATGCCAAGGGCAAGCGGTCGACGACGGCGGCGTGCAAGGACATTTTCTCGACAGCGGTCGAGGTGCAGGACGCGGAGGCGGCGGCGGCCATCCGCGGCGACCGCGGCTGGCGCTTCTCGTACCCGCAGCACCTGCTCCGCATGGTCCAGCTCTGCTGCAAGTCGAAGAAGTCTGCGGTCTCCATCTCCAAGGCCCTCCTCCGCCGCGCTCACTCGACGTTTGAGTTTGTGCGCGACGGGCAGACCTTCACCCTGGCCGAGGCCATGGACGGCCGCTTTGCCGACTCGTTCTACACCGGTGTGGTCGAGGGCGAGGCGCCCAAGGGCTCCGGCGTCCTCGAGGTCCCGTACAAGACCGGGACGCTGAGTGGACAGGCGCTCAAGGACCAGCTCCGCAAGTGGGTCGAGGCCGGGACCATCGAGGCCGACGCCGCCGAGGCCATCGAGGCCGTCGCCGACAACCCCGAGTGGATGGATCTCTCTGACAAGTACTTTGTCCTCCTCGGCGCCGGCTCGGCCATGGGCCCGCTCCTCCAGCTCATGGCTATGGGCGCCAACATCATCGCCATCGATCTTGACCGCCCGGGCATCTGGAAGCGCCTCTTCTCCATCGCCCGCAACTCGCCCGGTCGCATGTTTTACCCGCTCTCGCGGCCGGCGTCCGAGTGCGCCGACGAAGGCGAGCTCGCCGCCGCCGCAGGCTGCAACCTCTTCACCCAGACGCCTGAGATCCGCAACTGGATCAACGCCGAGTTCTCCAAGCGCGAGCTCACCATCGGCTCGTACGCCTACCTCCACGGCGCACTCCACGTCCAGGTCTCGCTTGCCATGGACGCCATCGTCGCCTCGCTCCTCGACGAGGGCCTCAACCTTCGCCTCGCCTACCTCTGCACCCCGACTCTCACCTACGTCATTCCTAAGGAGGCCCGCGCCGCCGCCGCCGCCAACGAGGCCAACGCCCCGATGTGGCAGCGCCTCGTCCGCGGCCTCACCTTTGGCAAGAAGCTCGTCTCCAACGCGCTCCCGCTCTTTGTCGGCGACGACGGCACCGAGTACGCCATTTGCGACGGCGTCGTCACCGCGCAGGGCCCCAACTACGCCCTCGCCAAGACCATCCAGCAGGCCCGCGCTGTCGTCGCCCGCACCGAGATGAACACCCCGGTCTCCAAGCACGTTGCCCCTTCGACCGCCACCAAGTCCGTTGTCGACAACAAGTCCTTCGCCGCCGCGTACGGCGGCTTCCGCTTCTTTGCCGCCATGGAGGTCTTCTACCAGGAGACCTCCAACGCCGTCATGGCCGCCATCCTCGTCCACGACATTCAGAACCCGGACGCTGTCGCCAACCCCTCGGTCGTGCTCAGCAACCCCATGGAGCTCTTTGCCCACAACGCCATCCACGGCGGCGTCTGGCGCAACGGCTTCAAGATCAACTCGATCGGCGAAGTCGCTGCGCTCGCCTTTTACGCTACCGAGTACACCTTCCAGCTCGTCGCCGCCTCGGGCGCCGTCGCCGCCCTCGGCTGGTACCTCAACACCCATGGCCTGCCCATCGAGTTCTGAGCGCCCCGCCAGTATCAACCCATCTCCTGACAGTCCGACAGTCCAACGGTCCGGCGGTCCGACAGTCCTATGGTCTCGATTGAACAATTGCGCCGTCAGCTGCCTCTGCCTCGCCCGCCCACCGCCACTGCCACCGCCACCGCCACTGCCACCGCCTCCGCCCACCTCGGCTGACTCTCCCCACACTGACAGACGTCTCTTCTCCATCAGTGTACGGCCCACCATTCTGCCACCCTCCCTCACCCGGCCCCCACCCCCTCGTCCCTCCCCCCCGCCCCCTCCTACCCCTCCCCCCCTCCCCCCTCCCCCCTCCCCCGCTCCCTTCCCGTCCCCCGTCCCCCTCCCCCGCTGTGTCGGAGGGATGATCAGCCCGACGCAGCATACACAGTCCAGACACCAGCCACAGCCGACACTACCCGCACCACCTTGTACCACCACCCTGCACCCCGCACCCTGCACACACGCACATACACACACACACACACTCTCTCTCTCTCTCTCTCTCTCTCTCACC